ACGAATGTGTTTCTCATATAATAAGGCTGGGTCTTTTTTTTTTTTTTGAGCCCCCCCAAAATGGCTAGGCCATCTTTTGGGGGGGTGACTTAATTACCCCCCTTGCATCTTTGGGCGGGTGGGCAGCGACGGCTTGGATGTTGATCTCGGCGTTGGTGGGACACTTCGTATCGGGGTCAACGCAGGCAGCACCATATCCAGGTGTGCAACAAAAGTATTTCCTAACGACAAGCCCCCCACCATTCCCCCCATTTCGCATTTTTTAATATAGGCCTTAATTTGGGGGGAGGGGCTTAATTTCATTTCATGCCTATAAAACATGCTGGGATTTCCTACTGGGGGAGGCCGTATTGTTGGAGAAACAGGGTAGTTAACTACTGGATTTCAGAAACATTTGATTTTCCTCTTGCATACCCACAAGACTTTCAATTGTGTAGAAATAATTCCCAGCTCTTCAAGAAGTATTTTAGTTCCTCACCTTCTCCAAAGACAACTCCAACCATTAGGTAAAGGAAAGGTTCTCCTCACACATACGTGCTAGTCGTTTCTGGCTCTAGGGGGCGGTGCTCATCTCCATTACAAAGCCGCTCTCCAAAGAAGTCTCTGTGGTCATGTGGCTGGCATGACTAAACACCGAAGGTGCACGGAACACTGTTACCTTCCCACCAAAGTCGTTCCTATTTTACTACATGCATTTTTACATGCGTTCGAACTGCTAGGTTGGCAGAAGCTGGGACAAGTAATGGGAACTCACTCCGTTACATGGTGCTAGAGATTCAAAACGCTGAACTGCCGACCTTTCTGATCGACAAGCTCAGCGTCTTAGCCGCTGAGCCACCGCATCCCTACTCCAACCATTACAAATTCTCAAAGAGCAAAACCCTTTTTGTGATGGCAGAAGCATCCACTCACAGTGCTCCTCCCTGCTCCCATACAAGTAAAAGCAAGCACCATGCTAAAGCCAAGGTCCACTCTCTTCCTTAGTGGGCTCAGCTTTGTAATAAAGGGGTATTTGAAATGATGCTCATTTAGCCTTTTTCTTGAGATCACCAGACAATGTACAACACTGGGTTGCACTTCAGTGAATATTTTTTATTTTCTGAGAGGCATTCTGGGAAAGATGGTACTGGGGAGGAAGGGGTGAATGGCGCTTGTTTAGCAACATGATGGCCTTCAATTTAAAAGAAAAGTGAAACGAGGCAGAAAAATTCTGATGCAGGGGTTCCAGACACCCTAAACCCCATGGACACACCTTGTCAACACCCACCAGATGTGGGAGGCAATAATCCATTCCAGAGGATCACTAGATGGCACCAGAGGGTTCCTAAATATTTTTTGTAGTCATCAGATTTTGCAGCCCAGATCTGATAGCTGTAGCATTGCTCCTATTTCTGATGGCTTATAGCATCCCTAGATATATTTAAAAACTTCAAAAACTACCATTTTAAAAAAGTTGAGGCCTTCCTCACATGAATGTATCCCTTCTTGCATAAAGAATGATGCAGAAAAAGAATGATACAGTAGATATTCAGCTGTGCCATGGTGAAATATATGCTTCTAAAGTATATTTGTATTTAAATATGTTTGCTGTTTTTGCGGCTTAGAAATTTTATAGCTGATATTCTCATTGTTCCAGTTCTGTGTAGTTTGCATGTTATCAATAGCTTTGTAAAGTGTCTTGAAACCAATGAACCATAATAAAATGTATCATAAAATAGTTATAGCACAACTCAGGGAAATCATAATTTTAATAAGAGCTTTCTTCATCAAAGATTCGAGCAATATCTGGTTGCTGTTCTTGTACTTCCAGTCCCAAAGCAATCGTTTGCAAGCTTGAGGATAGAAATAAAGAAGTATTTGGCATTCTCGCAATGATTCCATTCTCTAATCCTCTCTGGTGTTTGCTAACAGATCTCAAAATCCCTTGGCAAAACTTCATGGCTCATCCATTCTAGAGAGACACCATTTGGAGTTTGGCAAATTTCTGCTCTCAGAGGAGGTGGGTGATCAATATTTTGAATGGCAGAAGTAATTGGGTGGATCCATGTTTTGCTTTTATGAAACGGTGATTGGTATTAGACACAACTCAAATTTTTATTGGAATTGATAATTGGTTTAAAACTTTGCACCAATGACAAAGCATCCATCAAAGCATCCATTCTTTTTCCTTCTCAGATGCAGGATTTAAAAAAGTCAATTCTTTCAGCTTCCAAGTAGCATAGCCTACCTTGAGACTGCATTTAACTCCCATGTTAATATACTGTTAATAGAAAATAAAATTGGCTCATTAACAATTCAACAACTACCAGGTTCAATTAATCATTTTATCAGATGGTTCAAGACACACACATGCTTAATATTAATGGATCGTTTAAGCCAGTTAATTGGGAATTTATGCTAGAGCACTTTATTTCAAAATTTAGATTATCAGTACTAAAATTAAAAATGAGGGCAATTAATACAACAGCCACTTGGAAAGCAGCATTTCAAGCTGAGAAAAGTGAAGAAAATTATCTTCAGCTAGGAGATGGGACTGAAACAGATGGCAAACTGGTAGAAGTGTCCTAAGGAATGAGAGGCATCAGGACACTTCAAAATTGAGTCTGCAAAATATTTGGAGAACTACCCAAAATGTACCTACCCATTTAAGAAATAATTTATCTGAATAAAACACCAGTAAAAACTCTTGTTCAGTAGTTTCAGAATGATGGATCAATTGGTGGAAAAATAGAAATTGTGAAAGTTGAGGTAGAGGGAAAGTTGAGTATCATAACATGATCCAACTTGTTCATCTTTATATTGTTCTTTCCAAGTGATAAAGGTGTTTAGTTACATTTTTCTATATTCTTAGCACATAGTAGCAGAGGAGAGATCATTGAATACAAGTTCAGTTAATCAGTTCAGTTAATCTGATCACTTTTCATTGGCTTCTGGAAAACCATCAGTAAAAGCCCACAATAAAGTATGAGATTATAATGTGTTTATATCTGTCTGTCTGCCTGTGTAAGAAATAAATGTTTAAGCCTTGAACCTATGAAAAAGAATTAGTATATCTTCTCAGTATCTATGTGATGACCCAGGGTGGGATACAAAAACAACAAAGTCACAAAAACAGGTGCAGTTCCTTTAATTCCAACTTGGCTTTAAAGATCCAATTATCATTGACTAGTGAAAAAACTCCCACACAAACAGTTGTGAAAAGGAAAAACTTCTGTTCAAACTCAAAATACATATAAATTATAAATAGAAAAACAACAACACAAACCACACTGAAGAATTAATGAGACAAGGCAGGATAAGGGCTTGAAGACTTCTGCAGATATCGAAATACACACACTGGGAAGGACGCCAGAACTCAGATAAGAACTGATAGACTAGAAATATGTTCACGCTTTGCTTCCAGCACTGGCCTATGAGTAGTTTGTCCTTTTATACGGTCCTCACAGCTGCAGCCCGTGAAGGGGATCAAGGCCCTTTCCTCCCCTGTAGACCACGCCATAAACATTTCTCCCTTATCCTCTCCTCCCTGCATGTCCTAGGATGAAGAGGGGATGGGCCTGGGTCTTCCTCTGAATGCCCAGCCAGCCTCTGCCCTTCCCCAGTTTCCTCCACAACCTCCAGAGCCACACTCCCATTCCCTGTCAGCTGTTCCTCCTCTCCCTCAGAGTCAGATTCTAACAGGAGCATGACAATCTATTTGATATATAAATTATACAATTGTAGTAGAGGGAGCAGAGCTTGGGGATGAAGTCAAATTTTAGTATTTAGTATTTATTTGATTTGTCAATTGCTTACAAGGTACAGGTATAAGAATAAATATACTGTAGTTTTGAATACATGAGATAGATACTTATAAGAAAAATAAAAACAATAGGACAGGGATGGTAGACATGATTAGTGCACTTATGCATGCCCCCCCACAGGCCTCTTAGGAAGGGGGTGAGGTCAATAATAGACAGTCTAAGGTTAAAGTTTTTGGGGTTTGGGGAAGAAACCACAGAGTCAGGTAGAGTATTCCAAACATTGACCACTCTGTTGCTGAAGTTGTATTTTCTGCAGTCAAGTTTGGTGCAATTAACCTTGAGTTTGTATCTATTGTGTGCTCTTATATTGTTATGATTGAAGCTGAAGTATTCATTTGCAGGTAGGACATTGCAATGTATGATTTTATATACTATATTTAGATCAGACTGGAGGCAGTGTAGTTTTAGGTTTTCTAGGTCTAGAGTTTCAAGTCTGGTGGCATAAGGTATTCTGCAATGAGTAGAGGAGTGGAGAACTCTTCTTGTGAAATATTTCTGGATGTTTTCAATTGTGTTAATATCAGATACATGATATGGGTTCCAGACTGATGAGCTGTATTCAAGTATAGGTGTAGCAAATGTTTTGCATGCTCTAGTTAGTAGTGTGATATTATCAGAGAAGAAGCTACGCAGGATTAGATTAACAACTCTTACTGCCTTTTTGGCCATGTAATTATAGTGGGCTCTAGCACTTAGATCATTTGAGATGAGTACTCCAAGGTCCTTGACAAAGTTTGGATCCTCAACAAGGTCTTGACTATTTAGCTTGTATTTTATTTTCTGATTTTTTTCTGCCAATATGTAAGACAGAGCATTTATTTGTTGAGATTTGAAGTTGCCATTTGATTGACTATTCTGATACATAGTCAAGGTCTTTTTGGAGGATAGTAGTATTGTCTGTGGTGTTGAATAGCTTTACATCATCAGCGAAGAGGATGCAGTTGCTCTTAATATGATCACAGAGGTCATTCATGTAGAGTATGAAGAAAGTTGGTCCTAAAACACTGCCTTGGGGGACACCACTGTTGACAGGTACAGAATTTGATAGGGCGCTCCCAATTTTGACCATTTGTTGTCTGTTTGACAGGAATGCTTTTATCCAGTTATGTAGGTGTCCAGAGATACCATAAGATTTTAGTTGTAGGAGTAGTTTGTTGTGTACCACTGAATCAAAGGCTTTACAGAAGTCTATGTAGATTGCGTCTATTGCTTTGCCCTGATCGAGTTGTGTAGTCCATATGTTTTTGCAGTGTAAGAGTGGCAGATTACAGGATAGTTTTTTTCTGAAACCAAATTGTTTATTAGAACCTAGCATCGCTAATAGCCACCAATGATCTAAGTCCAATGCCCCTGGATACAGTTAATTCTTAACTAGTGCCAAAATAGTGCTATTAGTTGACTAGATTCCTGCTGCATAGGCATGACCAATAAATCATTTTGGAACTTAACGTGGGGCCTTGGTCTATTGCACTTGACAACTAGGCTTTAAAGAAAGATACCATTAGGAAAAGTTGGAGGCACCCAACATGATGCCTGTTAGGTTCAATCTTCCACTGATTTATGTATTTCTCCCTTTTAGTCCCTGAACATCTATCAGAATCTCAACAGGAGGCAGTATGAACATGTAAATCACTTAATGGATATTGCCATTATAGCCACCGATTTAGCACTGTATTTCAAGTAAGTGAATCATGTATTAATTACTACAGCAAACCCACCTGTTTGACACAGTTCTTCAGAATGCTACATTTTGAGTGAAACATCACAAATAAGAAAGAAATAGCAAAGTAGTTTCAGTACAGGTAGTCCTCGACTTACAGCCACAACTGAGCCCAACATTTCTGTTGTTAAGCGGGACAGCTGTGAAGTGAGTTTTGCCCCATTTTATGACTTTTCTTGCCACAGTTCTTAAATGAATCACTGCAGTTGTTAAGTTAGTCCCATGGCTGTTAAGTGAATCTGGCATCCCAACTGCTTGTCAGAAGGTCATAAAAGGACATCACATCCCCCTGGGATACAACAAAGGTCATAAATATCAGCCAGTTGCCAAACATCTGAATTTTGATCTCCTGACTGCTGGGATGTTACAATGATTTTAAGTGTGAAGCATGGTTATAACTCCCCTTTTTTCAGTGCTGTTGTAACTGTGAGCGTTTGCTAAATGAACTGTTGTAAGTCAAGGACTGCCTGTATAATGTAAAAAATTGGTCTGCTCTAATTAGGTTCTGCTCAATAAGGAGGATCTGAAGTATAATTTGGCAAAGAATATAAGCCCTAAAGTGTCAGATAGTGTTGAATTTACCCCTTGCTATCTTTCTTTCCACCAGACCAAGAATGTCAAACTCAAGGCCTGTGGGCCAGATCCTGTCCACGGGGTTCTTAAATCTGGCCTATGGGGCCAGCCTGGAAATAGCAAAGAACTGGCCCGCATTGCCTCTGGTAGCCAAAATCAGGTGCGGGGGGGGCATTAACAGTCCCCCGCGCCCCATTTTGGTGGCAAGGTCCTTCAAGAGGTGTCCATCAGAGGTGGTATTCAGCAGGTTCTGACCAGTTCTGAAGAACCGGTAGCGGAAATTTTGAGTAGTTTGGAGAACCAGCAAATACCACATCTGACTGGAGATTTTACAGTATCCTTCCTCTGCCATGCCCACCAAGCTACGCTCACAGAACCAGTAGTAAAAAAAAAATTAATCCCACCACTGGTGTCCATCCCATCTCCCCCCCTCCCAGGCAACCCCTGGAGGAGAACTACAATGCTGATCCAGCATTCAAAGAAATCCAGTTTGACACCCCTGCACTAGACGCTCAAATATGCAAGTTTCATGTCAGTTTCCTTTATTTTATCCCCTCAGTATCCTGTGCTTTGGGTAAGACTGAGAAAATCACTGGCTAAAAGTTAGCTTTCATGGCCAAGGATGCTTCTCGGATCTCAATCCAACACCCTAATCACTACATCACATTGTGGTGTTTTCTACATACAGTACAGTCTATATAGCTTCAATGTGCTGGGGAAAGTCAAACTACGGATTGAATTGGTTTATTCTCCCAGAATAGCATTAACGTGTAAATATTAAGGAAGACCCTGATTTCTTGACATATTCAAGGGTGTATCAAGACATGTATGCAGCTTAAGCATTGAAGAACAGGAAGTTGCTTATATTTCATCGATAGCAAATTCTGCTCCACACTTTCAATATTAGGGCTAATCCAATGGACAATCTATCTATTAAAGGGAGTTTTTGTTTGATTTTTAATAGGTAAGGTGATGGTGTGGAATCTACATCAGAATGAAATGAGCCCAAGAGGCCACTGTGAATTCCTTTTCCTTCTAGGACTTGTGCTTATACTGTTGAGTTACTAAAAAATTACTGTGAATTTTGATGGTGCTCAAGCTACAAAAAAAGACATTGATTTTTCTTATTCGTTTGCCATTTGCAATCTTTTTTTAAAGAAAGAGAACAATGTTTCAGAAAATAGTTGAACAGTCGAAGACCTACAATGATCAGAAAAAGTGGGTTGAATATTTGTCTCTGGAAACCACAAAGAAAGAGATTATTATGTAAGTGATCTCTTTTTAAAAGCCTAAACATATAAATGGCAACAATGAAAAACACAAAATGGCACATTATATCAGGTTAAATATTAGTACTAAACTCGGTCTACCTGTATGTGGGGTATGTATATATAGGCATAAATACATATAGATATGTGTGTCAACTAAAAAGATACCCCTTTGGTCTTTTTAGCTGCCAGAAAAAGGGAGGGGGGGGAAACAAGGCATTCCTTAAATGCCTAGATAATCACCCCGGTAACCCAAAGTTGTTGGAGCATAAGAAGGGTATTGGAGAGCATGATGGATGACTCTTGGAGATGGATATGTCCCATTGGAGAAGTCACATCCTGGGGGGGGGGGGGAAGACCAGGGTCAAGGGGAAATGTATGAGAAATGTATTAGTATTGACTGCATCAGCTTACGCCAACATGGCCACTCCTAATAAATCAAGTTACTTTTCTCTGAGATGCGGCTAGAGACTTTTGAGTTGAATGAGGATGGATTTGTTGGAGCCCTGACAATGTGTGTGTGTGTGTGTGTGTGTGTGTGTGTACATATTGGGTCTTTTTGTAAAAATTGGCTATCTGATGAGAACGTAGGTTCTTTCAGAGAGTTGTGGGTATGGCCTAGGATATAGAAAGTTGAGAATTAGTGATGTTAAATCTCCCTAGGAGGGATTGCATTATAGTTATTTAAGTCATTTGGGTTGAATGAGAAAATTCTAAAAGCTGCCTTTTGGAACTAACACTCCTAGTACTGCTGTAAATTAAAAGATAATAGTCATAAAACCTTAAAGAACTTGGACAATCTGGCCAGAGGCTACCTGGAGGCTACATAAATGCATGCATACTGACCATCAGCATATACTTGGGAAGATGAGGTTTTGCCCAGTCCTTTCTAAAACTTATACATGTGTAGGACTATGATATGAACTCTGAGTCATGGAAGGAAAATACATTTTCTTAACATACCAAGGTGCCATTTCTAATTCCAACTCATTTAAAAAAAATAATGTAATTCCAATAAAACAATGTGAGCACTTTGATACAGAACCCTAAGACTCACCTGATGGAGGTATCTAAGCCTTCTAGAGCCATCTTTCTTTCCTCTCTACTAGATAGCTTTCTCCCAAGGTACAATTCCCTGTTTTTCAATGGGTTCCTTTTGGCTCAGTTCTTCTGGGTACCCTCGCAAGGATCTGAATGTATCTCCCTTGGAGAGCTGACTGGAAATTTGTTTTGTTGCAATGGTTTTGCTGCTTGGGTGAATGTGAATGGACAGAGAAGCACAGATTTCCTCACTGTACCCTTCTGGCTTCTTCTCTACAGGGCTATGATGATGACCGCCTGTGACTTATCCGCTATTGCAAAACCCTGGGAAATCCAGAGTAAGGTCAGGTGCCTTTCACACACAGTGTCTTTTCTTCAAATGTTAAGAGCAATCTGCGGAATTGTGCATTTTCCTTAACATAGAGTTGAATCATTTCATCTTTGTAGTGTTCAACAAAATGTTGAGGGTTGACCCTACAGCATAAAGAAAAGAGTGGATCCTGCCCCAATAAGATAATATAAGCTTTATATTGTGGGGTTTTTTTCTTAATCGCTTTGGTCTTTCCAACATCCACTTGTAGTCTTCTAGATGATGGAGCTCAGGTAGAAATTCCACCCAAACATTTTACAGCTGGTGTAACACATCTATTTAACAAGTCAGATGTGAAAAATATTATATTCCAGATGTCTGGTTTTTTTTTTTTTTATAAGTAATAATCTCCGGTTGTTTAAGATGATAAAGTGATGCAGTACGAATGTTAAAGGTTTAAAATCTCATGGACAACAATGGTCTTACATACGCATAAATCTCGGAAAGAAAAAAGGGAAGAGAAGCAAACACATAGAATGCTTCCAAGTGTTAGAATTAATAGTGATGATTTTATAGGACGAAACAAGAGTTGTGAAATGTGAATGCCAACATCATAAAAGTTTTTCCCCCCATATGCAGGTGGCATTACTTGTAGCAGCTGAATTCTGGGAACAGGGAGATCTGGAAATGTCTGTACTTCAACAACAGCCTATTGTAAGTTCATTTTAAAAAATAGTCATTGATTTGCTTCCTGCCTTCTTCTGTTTTTTTTTCCCCCCGCTAACCTTTCTAATCCTAGAAGGTGAAATCCTGTGCTGTGGGCAGCCCTCCTTTCCAAATGTCCTTCCAGCAGGAGGAAAAGCCAGAGTTAGCTCAATTCTGGTTTGGTGGGCATCAGCCCTGCAGGACATTTGAAATAAAAGCCTTGCTAGAATATATAGTCGAAGCTATTTTGGGACCTTTCCAAGTGAAACAATAGTTTCACCCCATTTCAATGGTCAAAGAGAGATGAAGATGAAAAAAGACTTATCTTTCTCACTCTAATATTTCCTCATTAAAATGGGCAAAGGGTTAGGGTTAGGGTTAAGATTATTGTTATGTATGAAGTAAACATAAAGATGGTTTATAACTATAAGCATGCCGATATAACCAACAGCATTACAAATAAGCTAACATAAAGATAAACTTAGTTAAACTTATTCTGTTGCACTATTGCTATTGTTATTAGTATATATGTTACTAGTACTTTTTTTCCCTTTGTTTTTCCTGATATGCCCTGAGAAGAAATGGTTCAAGGACAGATGGTCTCTCTCCTTTGTAGATCATTTGATCCTGAAGTTCACCCAATTTCAAAACCAAATGTGGTCACTGAATGGAAGTCACCCAAATTTATATACACAGAGAAATGTTTTTCTTCCTTTGCCATGATGGGAGTAAATAACAGCCATTCATGTGAGAAGAAAGTAAACTTGATTGAGATGAGCTCTTCCCCCGCCCCCAAGACTGATTATTTTCCTTTTTCCATTTGATTGATTTAGGATCGTTCTCTTTATCCCACAGAAGTTACGAGGCTCATTACAGGTAGTTCTTGACTTACAACAGTTTGTTTAGTGACCTGTTCAAAGTTACAATGGCACTGATAAAAAGTGATTTATGATCTTTTTTCACACTTACGACCGTAGCAGCATCCCCATGGTCATGTGATCAAAATGCAGATGCTTGGAAAATGATTCATAGTTATGATGGTTGAGATGTCTCCAGATCATGCAATCAACTTTTGAAAGCTTTGGACAAGCAAAGTCAATGGGGAAGCCAGATTCTTTAACAAGCATGTTACTAACTTAACGGCTTGCAATGATTCTCTTAACAATTGTGGCAAGAAAGGTCATAAAATGGGGCAAATGTCTCACATATCAACATAAATTTTGGGCTGGGTGTAAGTTAAGCACTACCTGTATTGAGTGTGTTTTAAACCCTAAGGTTTCCTGACAACACTAGAGTTCAGACTTCAAAACTCTGTTCCTTAAGAGGATTTAATAAATGTGTCTATTCAAAAACAACCACTGCTATTTTGTCCTAGCCTATGATGGACAGAAGAAAAGCTGCTGAGCTCCCCAAACTTCAAGTTGGTTTCATTGACTTTGTGTGCACGTTTGTATACAAGGTAAGTGGATTAATGATCTGATTTATTAGGTCCAGGAACCTTTACAAAGTTTAAGTCACTGTACAAAACCTCATAGGCCCTCTAGGTCAGCGGTCTCCAACCTTGGCAACTTTAAGACTTGTGGACTTCAACTCCCAGAATTCCGCAGCCAGCTTTTCTGGCTGAGGAATTCTGGGAGTTGGAGTCCACCAGGCTTAAAGTTGCCAAGGTTGGAGACCCCTGCTCTAGGTGGTTTGGATTTCATCTCCCATCAGAAAACATGAGCAAGGGATTATAAGAATTGTCATCCAAACCATCTGGATGGCATTAGGTTGCTTATACTTGGTTGAGGCAGACATTTTTATCACCAACAATAAATATGTCTGCTTACGGCACCTTAGTACAAATCCTTTGGGAGTTAGAAGGCAGATTTCGATTTCCTTTAATTAACATTTTTTTGTTCACTATTTTTAAAAATGAGAATCTAGAGTTGCATTCTAGCATTTTCTGAGCTTTCTATCCCCTCCAGTGGGATGTTGGAAAGAAATTGTATAAATGGGTTGGATTTTCTCAGTCAACAAGGCAGCTCTCTAAAACAAACAGAATCTGATGAAATTTGAAAAAAGGATTAAGTTTGAAAATGAGCCATCTCAAAGTAGGGACCAGAAAAACGCCCCCAAAACTATACTCCCACAAAAAGTGGAAGCTATTATATATAAACATGAAAAAAACCCACACTCTCCCATACTGATGATGTTACCTAGATGGGTAGTGAACTGTCCACAATCAAGCAGAGAACTTCAGAGAACAGCAAGAATTGCACTTCATGTATCTTCATTTTATATTGTTTGATATTACGTAACTGAACTTGCAAATGATTTGCATTGCTAGGTGTGGAAGGCAGCTGGCCTATCGTTTTGAGATGCTTAAGAAAAACGTTTTTGCAATCTCGAAAATGTCTATCAGCAAGACAGCTTCCCTGCTTCCTTTCTAAAATATCTTGTCTTCCAGAGATCTGTGCTTCAGGTTCTGATATTATTCTCTGTGGAAAGTATTCTTAATGAATGGATGATAGGGTTGGTTTAGGATTTCCAATGACTGCAATAAATAAGCAAATCATCAAGCAAAACAGAAAAATGTCTTTTATTTCCAATTAAAGGTTTTATTCTTAAAGATAGCCATCTTTTCTTGAAGCAAATTATGCTTTTGATCCTGGATAGATCTTTGCTGTGTAACAGATGCTTAATGCAGCTTATAAGAAAAAAGTGGTTGAAATGACAATGAAATGGAATTTGCTTTCCTGAGGAACTCCTCAAAACGAATAAGGGAAATTATCCCCCAAATCATGTTTAAGCTTATCCTTGTTCCTCAAATCAAAATCATACAGCTAAATGACCCACATTTATCCCCCAAATGTTTGGCTGATGACGTTCATACAGTTCAGGCTTTATAGGAAGACAATGGCTTCAGCAACTGAGTTCAAAATAGCTATATGGGTAGGCTTCAACTTAAAAACATTTATTTAGTGAATGTTCAAAGTTAAAACAGGACTGAAAAAAAGAGACTTATAACCATTTTTCACCCTTAAAATTGTTACAGCATCCCCACAGCCACCTGATCAAAATTCGGACTCTCGTCAACCAGCATAGATATGTTAATGATGTTTGCAGTGTCACTGAGTCATGTGATTCCTGTTTGCAACCTTCTGGCCAGCAAATGCAATGTAGAAATCAGATTCACTTAACAAATGTGTTATGAACTTAATAATCTCAGTGTTTCACTTAGCAACGGTGGCAAGAAAGGTTATACAATGGATCCAAACACACCCAACAACAGCTTAGCAACAGAAATTTTGGTCTCACTTGTGGCCCTAAGTCGAAACTACCTGTAACAAGGAAATATTACAGGGACTGGTCAAGGCTACAACCACTGCAGGAGGCTCAAGTCTTTGCCAAAGGACTTGAAGACCCTTGACTTGGGATTCTTCTTCCTATTGTTTGCTCATGTAGGAATTTTCAGAGTTCCATCCTGAAATTCTGCCAATGTATGAAAGACTGCTCAATAACCGCAAAGAGTGGAAAGCTCTGGCTGATGCATCTGAAGCAAAGATGGCCGCCTTGCAGGAAGAACAGAAGGACCCAAAAACAGATGCTCCTGGAGGTTAGAAATGAAATGAAACTTGGGGTCTCTAATATTCTTTCTCCTTCCAGCTACTGGCTTGATGTAACATGATATGAATAGTGCGAGAGAAAGCAAATTCTGATAAAACTTATTAAAATATCAGAGTATCCTAAATACAGGAGGAGTTGTTTATTTTGCTATGGTTAAGGCAAGAATAGAGGTTCCTTCTACATTGGAAAGACTAATTTATGGCCCAAATTGCTCAATGGATGGAAGACATAATATGATTTACAATTTATAAACAAGTTGCTTATATACATAGAGTATGGATAAATTTCAAAGAAACATGGTTGTCCTTTATTGGACATCCTTTATCCTTTATTGAAATTGCTACATAAAACTTGTGAAAGTTTAGCCATCCCATTTCATTCATCCTCATTGATACCAATTTTATAAACTTATCTCTTTTCTGTCAACAAAATTCTTCCTTTGTAGCAACTCCAAAATCCAACTAATTTTGACTTTCCCCACTTGGTTCACGTAGCTACTTTTTCAGCTGATGATGATCCTGCAATTAAAACTGTGCCTGGCATGCAAACATTAAGTAGATGGTGTCAGATTTGGAAGCCATATTAGCATCAGAAGTTTCCACGCTGCCACATTCTGGAGCATGGGAAGTCAGGAGGGAGGATTTCATAGAGCATATGTGGTTAGACATAATAGCATTCTTCTTTAAAGTCAAGGTCATGTCATTCCTGCACCTGGCTGAGTAGTAGTAGAGGGAATGGATGGTGTTTGGGGCATGTGATGGAATGAAGGGTACAGGGAGTGGATTTGTAATTTTGTCTTTATTGGAGGAAAACCCAGAACTTTCAGATTCAGGTTTTCCCAGATGTGTCAATATAACTACTCTAATAAAAGGAAACTTTGAGAAAATGCCTGTCTCAAGAGTTTTTAATGGGAGTTGGGTTATTCTGGAACCCTGACAGATGGTTCTTCATAGCTAATTCTTAAATTGACATCCACTGAAGAGCTCAGCTAACCATTGCTTTTTTTTCTTTTTTGCAGCACCAATGGCCAACGGAGGACCTGTTACCTCGTCTTCAACTTGTTGCATTATTTAGGTCAACACTTAACATTGTAAGATTACAATAGGTCAACATTACTTAAGGGCTGTTTCACACATACAGCATCAGAACTAGATTTGCCACTTGTACAGATGAACAAGAGCCATAGCAATGTGGATCTAGAGAATCACATACGTATTTTCAAATGTGCTTCATGCAAACTCTGCATTTATACGTCTCCTTGAAAAACTTTAAGATACCTAAATAGCTGAAGATTCTGCTGTATATTCTAAAGTTGTTTTGGAACATGACATGAATATATGTTTGAGCTCTATGAACATTCTGCATCACTGAATTAACTCTCTACCTCCTGTGGTATTTTGTAGCTATATTAGAAATCTAAAATAATCTGCTTCTTGAGACTGTTTTATAAAATCAAGGGCCAATCATGGCTGAAGTAGTTTGAAATTAGGCAGACTCACAACAAAGCTTTGGGGAACCTAAGGTGCTCTCATCACTAACCTCTACAATGAATAATTTCAGAGCAGCATATACAAAGGAGAGACTAATCTGTAGGTAGGATGCAATCAGCCATCAAAGGGAGAAAGATGAAGTCTATCCCCATACAAATCACTAGGGAACAGATCCACTCTGACCACAAATCCTGCTTCTGCAAGACATTAACTTGCAGTCCTTGTTTCAAATGTAGAGTCTAAAGCAGAGGTGTCAAACTCATGTAGTCACGACAGTGTCACGTGACATATCGGGACTTTTTCCCCCTTCACTAAACTGGGGGTAGGCGTGGCAAGTGCATGATACATCCAGCCACAGCCGGAAGTTTGAAAGCCCTGGTCTAAAGCCTGACATTAGCCTTTACTTCTTACAGAATACTTCCTTGTATTGAAATAAATCCCAGGTTAAAACACCCATACACATACAAAATGTGTGAAGCTTCCTTTCAGATGCAAAGCAATTATTTGTTGTGAGCAGTTTCTGCTTATGACCAAATAAATGCTAGAACTGTCCAGAAGACCTGGTAATTATTGGCAAATGCAGTTTATTTTCATGTCGGGAGTATAATGGGAAAGCAGAGCATATAAGCATTCTTGATTTGGAAAAAAATGTATTTATTGGCTGCCCAACTCCAGTGAAATAAAATAAATTCTGTAAAAACATGAGAGGAGTTGGGGACTGAGCCGTCCAGAATTTAATGTGGGAGAGTAAGGACATCAGCCTGGCAACTAAATAGAGATTATTCCACGCTATCGTGTTTCCAAAGCTATCTATGGCTGGACCATGAAAAAATTATTCAGGAAAAAAATTGACTTGCTTAAGCTGTGGTCTTGGAGAAGTTCCTGAAGATTCCTCAGTCAGCAAAGGTGACAAAAACTTAAGTACTGGAGCATACAGCACCAGACATATTGCTGCCGTGCAAAGTCACAAAATTCTATGTTACAGTACTTATTTCAGTCATCTCATCCTATCAAATTCACTGGAAAACGAACTTATCCTTGGAATGGTCAGCAGGAGGAAATGATGCTGCCAAAAACAGGGTGAGTAGATACTATCAAAGTCACCCCCAGCCAGAGTATAAAGGAAATGAAAAAAGCCATACAAGATCAGTAAATGTGTAGAGAAGGTGGTCCATAGAATCACAAAGAATCAGACATCATTGAATGGATAGTACCATCATATTACAAATAGGATAGCAATGCTAGAGACTAGTTTTTGGTAACGGATTGTATAATTGTAGTTAAATCTCACAAGCGTGTATACAAATTTAATTTGAACAAAATTATTATTTTTAAATAAAACATTTAAAAACCTTCCATTTATTCATCTACTGCCTTAAAACTTTCAATATAAATGCAATTCTCAGTTTTTTCTCAGCATACGTCCTGTGACTAAGGAAACATGAAAATGAATGCAAGGTATTACTGGTAGGTCGTTTTCTGAGGAAAACAAAAAACTACACATTCAAAGTTAAGAAAATCTACATCCAATATTGAGAATGAATTGGCAATCTGATCTTTCCAATTGTAAGAATTCACGTTGGTCAGCGAAAGCTTGTAATTTTAATTCAACAGAATGCCACAAAAAGCAGAAATCGGAGTATTTTTTGAATCAGACCAGATGTTTCTATTCTTAATCACATTAGCTTGCTTCACAATGGACCTCAGCAGTTTTATCTAGTCACAACGAAAACATTTCTCCTTTAACCACTCACAATACATATATAGCTTTCAACTTTTACAGTATCATGTCTCCAAACAGCGTGGAGAATCTTTTAGTCTCCCTAACAGAAGACTAGTAGCTACCCAAGCATCTTTCAAATGCCTTGTTTGTTAACAAATGTGCCTTCTGATAATGTCACTATTATTTGAATATTGCCTTTCCAGCCAAGCTTAACCTGTGTTCACAGGTTAATCCTAACCCTAACAGTCACAGTTCATCTACCTTTCATTATTATAACTAGTACTGTAGTTTTTTTATTTTAAAAACAGAGTATTTAGAAAACAACTAAAGTTTCAAACATATGTTCAATAATTGCATTGTTTCAATTATTAAACATTAATATTAATTTATAATTATTGGGATTGCTTATTGTAAATTACATATGTTCATTTAGAAAAAAAAAGTTATCAGTGAAAGTGAATTACCCCTTTCTAAACCTCTTAAAAACATGCACTTCTTCCCTCACCCAAGATCTGAGCTGCTGTACTTCTAATTATAATGGAATCAAACTTTGATTTTAATAGGCTTCACTTGATTTTTCAAAACCTTTCTTAAATATGCAAATATAAAGAACATTACTTATTCTGACCTAATGTCTTTACAATCCATGTCTGATAAAAACTGAAAAGTAAAGAAAATCAAGAGAACCTCACTATATAAATCCAGGGAGCCAGTGATATAACCTGCCACACCTTAAAATCAAGGCAAAAGCACTTGATGTCTGCCAATAGCTCAAAGGTTTTTCCAACAATACATTTATTTTTATTATATAATCTTGGCTCCTCTTCCTTGCACATTATGCTATTGGCTTTTTAGAAGTTCTCCAGGGTCTAATAAATTTCAAGTCAAATAAGTCATAGAAGTTCTCTCTCTCTCAATATATAATACCAATAAAGGAGAATATTTATAACTCCGGATTGAAACAAGGAGTCCTTGGTGCTCTCTGGGGTTGGTTGTTTTCTTGAAGACATTTCATTACCCAAACTAAGTAACATCATCAGTGCTAACATTATCACTATCGCTATAGTGTGTGTGTGTGTGTGTGTGTGTTTGTGTAATTTGTAAAATTCCAGTCAGTACACAAATGGACTAATTATTTCTCTAGCACAGTGGCTGAACAGTTAATGCTTTATTATATTAAAAAGTCAAGGTCCCAGCATCAACACGAAGACTTTGAGAATAAACTCAGATCAGCACATTGTATTTCATTTTGTCATTTCTTTTTTAATTAGCACTATGCATACTAAGGAAGTCAACATTGTTGTGAATGTCTGTTTATTGGTGTAAATAAATGTATTTTAGATGTTTAGAATTATCTACTTCAACATTTCAAAGATGTGGACCAAGGAAGTTTATTTCAGGATTGATTCTTGAGCTGAAAAAGAAAAAAATGCACTTTAGCAAAAACAGCAGCAAGCTACATCCTAAATGCACTCAGAATTTAAACAAATTTTTGAAGAAAGCTTTCTGAAATACACTGCTCAAAATAAAGGGAACACAAAAATAAGACATCCTAGATCTGAATGAAATATTCTTAATAAATACTTTGTTCATTACATAGTTGAATGTGCTGACAACAAAATAACACAAAAATTATCAATGGAAATCAAATTTAGCAACCCACGGAGGTCTGGATTTGGAGTTACTCAAAATTAAAGTGGAAAAAAACACTACAGGCTGATCTAACTGTGATGTCATGTCCTTAAAACAAGTCAAAATGAGGCTCAGTAGTGTGTGTGGCCTCCACGTGCCTGTATGACCTCCCTACAATGCCTGGGCATGCTCCTGATGAGGTGGCGGATGGTCTCCTGAGGGATCTCCTCCCACACCTGGACTAAAGCATCCCCCAACTCCTGGACAGTCTATGGTGCAATGTGGCGTTGGTGGATGGAGCGAGACATGATGTCCCAGATGTGCTCAACTGGATTCAGGTCTGGGGAATGGGTAGGCCAGTCCATAGCATCAATGCCTTCGTCTTGCAGGAACTGCTGACACACTCTAGCCACATGAGGTCTAGCATTATCTTGCATTAGGAGGAACCCAGGGCCAACCACACCAGCATATGGTCACACAAGGGGTCTGAGGATCTCATCTCGGTACCTAATGGCAGTCAGGCTACTTCTGGTGAGCACATGGAGGGCTGTGCGGCCCCCTAAAGAAATGCCACCCCACACCATTACTGACCCACTGCCAAACCGGTCATGCAGGCAGCAGAACATTCTCCACAGTGTCTCCAGACCCTGTCACATCTGCTCAGTGTGAACCTGCTTTCATCTGTGAAGAGCACAGGGCGCTAGTGGCGAATTTGCCAATCTTGGTGTTCTCTGGCAAACGTCAAACATCCTGCACGGTGTTGGGCTGTAAGCACAACCTCCACCTGTGGACGTCGGGCCCTCATACAACCCTCATGGAGTCTGTTTCTGACCGTTTGAACAGCCACATGTACATTTGTGGCCCGCTGGAGGTCATTTTGCAGGGCTCTGGCAGTGTTCCTCCTGTCCCTCTTTGCACAAAGGCAGAGGTAGCGGTCCTGATGCTGGGTTGTTGCCCTCCTATGGCCACCTCCACATCTCCTGATGTACTGGCCTGTCTCCTGGCAGCACCTCCATGCTCTGGAACCTACACTGGCAGACACAGTATACCTTCTTGCCACAGCTCGCATTGATGTGCCATCCTGGATGAGCTGCACTACCTGAGCCACTTGTGTGGGTTGTAGACTCTGTCTCATGCTACCACTAGAGTGAAAGCACCGCCAGCATTCAAGTGACCAAACCATCAGCTGGAAAGCATAGGAAGTGAGAAGTGGTCTGTGGTCACCACCTGCAGAACCACTCCTTTATTGGGGATGTCTTGCTAACTGCCTATGCTTTCCACCTGTTGTCTATTCCATTTGCACAACAGCATGTGAAATTGATTGTCAATCAGTGCTGCTACTTAAGTGGACAGCTTGATTTCACAGAAGTGTGATTGACTTGGAGTTACATTGTGTTGTTTAAGTGTTCTCTTTATTTTTTTGAGCAGTGTATATTCTTGTTGGATGTTTTGGCAATTCTCCTTGATAATGTTTTAGCTGCCAGATGATCAAAAACACAATAATATTTTCTTCCAAATATGGAAGAATTATATGCTAGCTTTATACTATAATTTCCCCCCAAATTAAAATAAATATTTAGAATCATCTACAATCAGATGTAAGCACCCTTGAAGGACATTCATTGCAATCAACAACTGTCCTGGAGAAACCTCTGATGCTGTAGGACTGTTTTTTTCCACTGATGCCTGAGATGACAGACCTCCACAGCCAACCACAGTAAAAAAATGACATACACGGAAACATTTGATGCAAGTATATAATCTATGATATTTGCATCATGATGTATATTTTATCACTTCCCCCACCCAGGAGGATATGATGGAAGTGCCGTTTTCATGTGGAACAAGAGTATTGTATGCATAAACTTGGAAAAGCACTTCCAGTGGAAGATTAGATTAGAAAGTTAACTGGATTTAAAGAAATGTTAAAGTTGGCCAGTTTGGTCAGAAAAAAATAGTAGAAAGAGGTTTTTGAAAGACCAGAAATTTTATGTGGACTTTCTGTTCAAAGAAAGAAGATTTAAGAAAGACAAAGATGGATAACAGATTATAATCATTACTCAATAGAAAGAAAGGCAGAAGGCACTTTCTATCTTACCATATTAAAAATGCATATAATTTATTCATCCCCTGCCTTTATTAGTTTTACAAATAACTCAAGGCGGCAAAGATATCCCATATAGGTCCTCCTCCAACAACTCTGTGAGGTAGGTTGAGCTGAGAGAGAGTAACTGGCCAGATGGTTTTCATGGCTAAGGTGGAATTAGAATTTGGTCTCCCACTTTCTAGCCTGGTGCCTTAACCATGATTAGACCAAATTGGATCCCTCTCTCTGTTTGGATGAATGTATCTATGTATGTTATCTGGGGGAGGGGGGATTTCATTGAAATCCAAAACATCAACCTTCTGTTGACATAGAGATAGTCCACTTACAATCATTCATTCATTCATTCTTCATGTGACTGTTGTTAAAATCAAACAAATTTACAGAAAATACCTTCTTCCAATGCTTTTGCAATTCTTTTCAATTCCTCCTGTCTTGCTTTTTCCTCTGCTTCTAATCTCCTATCCTCCGCAGCAATAGGCTTTAAATAAGCTATTGTAAAGTAAAACAATATGTATTCAGAGGAAGCATAAATGCATTATAATTCATTCCTTCACAGTTCTTTGCTTTCGATTCATTAAAAGCATGTGGAATTTCAAGATACAAAACATTTAACATAAGCCCTATGGAATAATTTTAGCTTCAAAGTGGATAGAGTGTTGTCTTGCCTAAACGCTTCTTTTCATCACGACAATGCTTTTAGCATTGCTAACATTTAACTAAATTATTAAGATGCATTTTCACAAAATATAGAAAAAAGGTAAGTATAGAGAGTATACTATTTTTTTAACTTATTAATAAGCCCTGAATTCAGAATGGATTTTTAACAAGATTTTAAAAAATGTTTTAAAAAATTTGTGTATTAAATCTCTATGCCATCCATTTTACCAATAGTGATTTTTATAAAATGCTTTATAAAACTGAATATGCTCATAATGTTTATGCACCAATAAATATCTGCACAAATCTTAATTGTGGAAGTATAAATATAGACTCCAATCAGGAACAATGTGATATCAATAAATTGATATCAATATACAAGCTTGTGCATTCATTTTTTCACATGAAGTGACCTAAGATTTCTTAGAAGATGCTTCTAAATAACTGTTAAGAAGCCAGATGGAATAGCTGGCTGTAAATGCATCTATTACAAAAAATATTACAGTACAGTTTAATAGATGTAGTTTTCAAAACCAAACATCAGCTATTCACAGTCCAAACATAAATAAAAAGGTTATTTTTATTAATCACTTACCATATCTTCTTGCTCCATAAATGATTCCCAACAGCAGAGCTGAGTATCTGCAGAGCTTTAAATTACAGAAATGTAAACCATAAAGTATATTAATTCATAAAAAGACTGAATTCAGACATTCCAATGTGTTATATATATTTCCACAGTAATAATGTTCTGTATACCCACTATTATTATGAAGTGGTGTACACATTACACCATTTGTTTAGCAACCATTCAAAGCTACAACAGCACTGAGAAAAATGTCTTACCCATGGTCACGTGATTAAAATCCAGGCGCCTCGCAACCACCATGTATTTATCATGGTTGCAGTGTCCTGGAGCCAGTTACATGATCACCATTTGCTGGCTTGATCACAGCTGGCTTCCTACAAGCAAAGTCAATGGGGGAAGCTAGATTTGTTTAACAATGGCAGTGATTCACTTAAATCAGGAGTGAACAATTGGTTTTCCCAAGTACCCACACAAGGAACTGGGACTGTTATGGAAGCCGAACCAACATGGCTGCGAAATAGCATAGGCATGCACGCATGCCATACATAAATAGAAAAAGAAAGCAGTCACCTTCAAAATAAAATAGTTGTATTGAATGCATAGTGTACATTTATTTACATTTGATTTCTAACTTCTGATTGACCTCATGGGGGTTGTACAACCAAACAGCCACATGTGGCCTGGGAGGCTATAAAATGTTCAGGTCTGACTTAACTTGTGACTCACTTAACAATGCCTTGCTTAGCAACTGAAATTCTGGTCCCAACTGTGATCTTAAGTCAAAGACTATCTATACAATGTTGTATATTATACTTGCTTTTAGCAGCACAAAAGCAGTAATCAGAATGAGAATAAAAAGACAATAATGACTTGTTTGAACACTTTGACCATGTTTTCAAAAGGTTTCCCAGATATTTTTATTTTGTAATGGTAGGTTGGAATGTCCTTGGGAGACAAAAGAAAGTTGCAGACTTCACAACCATCATGTAAAAAATATCTCAGCCCACCGAAGCAGAAAGGACCAGGAAAACATTGCAGAAGGCACCTCCTTAGTTTTCTGGAGAGTAAAAATAAAGCAGGCGGGAAATACTTCCAGACTTGCAAGATTCTGTCAATGTAACTTTACACAAAGATATAGCTAGTACTCACAATTTTTCTTGTCTGGATTGCCTTACAGCAGAGGTTCCCAACCACTGGTCCGCGGACCGGTACCGGTCCGTGGATCATTTGGGACCGGGCCGCCTACTTTGCTTTGGCGCCACCTTGTTCCGACACATCTCACCGACACGTGGCTACAGGCCACTCAGGTGAGCAGCAGGAAAAGGGAGCTGGGCAGCCACAGACCAGCCGTCTCTCCGTCTGACGGCCTCGGCCGAATCTCTGCCTCCCAGTGCGCTTGGTCCTCCGCCCGCAGGCCTCCCCAGCCCCTTGCCAAGCGGGTTTTCCATCCCAGCCCAGCAGGACCCTCGCCGCCTTCCCCTCGCCTGGCCGGCCGGGCTCCTTGAGCAACCCAGCTGCCTCGTGCCGAGAAGCACGCTGCCAGGCGGGGGTCACGCGGCGCAGGGCAACACGCCACCGCCCGGCCCTGGCGAGGGAAAGCAGCGGGTGCTCCCCGGGCGGCAGCCGTCTCTCCGTCTGACGGCCTCGGCCGAATCTCTGCCTCCCAGCGTGCTTGGATCCCACTAGAATGGGTGAAGACAAAATATTTGGGCTGTAGATATTTTGGAAGAAGGGGAATGTGTGGGGATGAGTGGGAAAGTGTAGCTATCTGTTTAACATTTTTAAAGTGAAGAGCAGTGTTTCTCAATTTTAAGAAGTCCGGAATGCTGTCTGGGTAATTTTGGGAGTTGAAGTCCACATAATCTTAAAATTGCTGGAGTTGAAAACACTGGATAGGCAAAAGGTTTCTTTGCACTTACATATGTTTAGTGCAATCCACACTATATATATGACAAATCTTTAAAATGTGTGGACTTGGACTCTCTGAATTCCCCACACACCTTACAATTGTTAAGATTGTGGAAAGCTGAAGACCATATGGGAGATCAAACGCATCCTAAATGTAAAATCTGAATTGCAGATTACTACCTTACAAAACGCTTTTGGAGAAAACATATATGTTGTCAAACATATATTTTTGTTTGATCATGATCAACTGAATCATGATGACTTTATTGGAATCTAGTCTTGCATTTATACACATTTTTAGTAATCCTACAACATTGGTTAATTTTTGGTTGATAGTGTAATAGTAAATAAAATAAAAAATATAAATAAATAAATAAAAAATAACCAAAAAAAAAAAACCCTAACCGGTCCTTGAAAAAGTGTTTCTGCGTGAAACTGGTCCCTGGTACAAAAAAGGTTGGGGACCACTGCCTTACAGGACTAACACATATATCCTTTGGTAAAGCCAAAATGGCTTTTAAACAGCATTCAAGATAGACTCTCAGTGAAGGGTGTATTTAGTTTGCCATTATTACATTTCATCAAAACCGTTTTGATACAGCTAGCTTGTAGATGAAAGTCTTTTTAATTCTTTGGGCATCTCTAGACCTTATTAAGAATTTCCTGTTAAGAGCTCTGAAAAGTCTGACTGAGATACCAGTTATAAATGCTTTTTTATGTACGCTGAATGGTCTGCGATTTATACATATACATACATACATACATACATACATACATATACATGTATGTATGAATGTATATAGGCTGTAAAGCACTGATAAGTGGTATATAAGTCTAAGTGCTATTGCAAATTATACGCATGTGTATATGTATATGTATACGTGCATATATGTGTATGGCTATATATGTGTATGTGTATATTGACATGTGCATGTTTGTGTGTGTGTGTGTGTGTGTATATATATATATATATATATATATATGTATATATATATGTTTTCTGAGATTTTCGCGGGTATTTGTATGTGGATCTTTGGTTATTAGGGTTTTCTCTCGTGGAACTCCAAGCACAAAGCCGAAGACACAGGCCTGAAGATGATGAATGAGACTTCATCGAAATGTCGCCTAGATACTTCCAATTTTACGCGGGAGGAAACCCGAATAACCAAAGATCCATACACACACACACACACACGTATGTATGTATGTGTACATATATATATACATATATATATATATATATATATATATATATGTTTTCTTAAGTTTTCGCGGGTACTTACATGTATGGTATTCAGCTTT